TGTGTGTGTCTGTCTGTCTGTGTCTATGTGTGCTAAGATCCAGAACCCCCTTGAAACCCTGTGGACGTGACAGTATCTCTCTGAGAACGTGGTCCTGAGCTTTCTCTACAAAGTCTGAGGCCTTTCCAACAGGTGGGAAAGACGGCGCTGCAGGAGCCTGCCCCGCCTCCCCTTCCCTGCAACTTACCTGCATGTATCTAATCTGAAGGCATGGAGAAGGAAACAAGATTGAACCAGTCAGGACTGTCCACTGACCTCAAGCTGTGCTTGGGAACTCAGGGACACCCACACCACTGAGCGCCAGTCCAGCAGCCACAGCCCAGCCCTTCTCAGAGCCTATCGGGGAGGGATCGGGGCAGGACACCAGGACCAAAAGCAGCACGGCCTCCACCATCATCATTTCCACCCACTTACACTTTCTAGTTCCAGACACGGGGAAGAGGTGGGGAACCAGCTGTCTTATCTCAGACACACACTCACACACACTCACACACACACACACACACACTCCCTCCCTCACACACACACACACACACACACACACACTCACTCTCACACACACTCACACACACTCACTCACACACACACTCACACTCACACACACTCACACACACACTCACACACACTCTCTCTCACACACACACTCACACACACACGCGGTCTAGACAGCCCAGAAGTTCCGCACTGGTACTGAGTGTTAGGACACTGGCTAGCCCCCAGAACCGGGGACAAGCACACCTCCTGCCTTGGGGCTCTTCAGGACCAGGGACAGCGGCTGGTTCCCGGTGCCGTGGCAGCAGGGGTTGGGGGATGTCCTCGGGCCTGTGCCCGCACGCTCACATTTACACTTAGGTTGTCAATGACTTGGAAGTGAGGTGGCCTCCAACAATCTGAGCTCCAGGGGCTAGTGAAGTTTCACAGGCCGTGTCAGGCCAGCTCTGGGGAGCCCCCATCAGACTGCCTGCAAGGTTGGGGGGCAGAGCTGCCTTCTGAAAGCCTCTCCCACCTGCTCTGGAGTGGGACCCCTACCACGGTGCAGAAGGAGATCAAACTTTCGACCTTAGAGGGAAAATGTGTATGCTGTTCTTAAGGATGACACGGGAGGCTACAAGACCCCAATCTGGCCCTCTGTCTAACCTATGCCAGGGACGCAGCAGGATCCCACCAGCCTGGGAAAGGCTCTTCAGGACTCTTTTCTTGGCTTTTGTTTCTCCGCCACCAGCTGGCGGCTCCCACCCAGACGGGAGATGGTGGTGACACTGGCTTTCTGATAAATTCCCCACTTCTTCAGAGAACAAAAATGCATCAAAAGCCTCCACCACTGACAAGTGGCATTGTGCCCACCCCTGGGGAGCTCGGGGTCTAAGGGAGCTAAGGCCTGCCCCACCAACCCCGATTCCACCCCCACAGCCCCCCACCCAGCCAGACTCCTGCCTTCCAAACAGCAGCTGTTGGCAGTAAGCCGGAGCTGGCGCAAAACAGCGTCCGCCAAATCATTAGCCAAGGCTCGTGGAAATAAATACCCTCCAACATAAAAGGCGTGCAGCTGGCCCACTGAGCCCATGCTGGTCTCCTCACTCTCCACACAAAAGGGCACAAAGACGTGCGCTCAGCAGTGCGCTCAGCAGCGCTGCGTTCTCTAGAGAGCGCAGAGGTACTGCTTTAAGGTTCCCTGGACAGGAAGGACCAAGAATCCCGAACCCTTAGAAGGAAAATCTCAGGGGGCCTGAGTGGAGCTGGGTGACCTCCACAGATGGACGGCAGCAGGTCACATCTAGGGTCGTTCTGAGCATCTCAACAGGAAAGAAGGGCACCAAGCAGATGGGGGAAGAAGGAAAGGGGGGCAAAGATGCTCTTCAGGGAACCCCAGGGAACCAGGAAGCACCCAGGACTGTACTTCTGGATGACGTCCTGCTTTGGGGCTGCTGCCTGAGCAGACCAGACCTGGGGAGGCTGTTTCCTGGAGCAAGGACGGGGTGGGGCGCTCACCATGGGCTGCTGCACCTCCACTTTGATGATGTCCTCGTAGATATCGTCTCCTTCATCTTCACACGGGACACAGTCGTAGACATCCTCGCCCAGGTCGTGCTCACTGCACAGGGAGAGGTGGGTAAGCAAGGAAGGACCAGGAACCCAGAAAGCAAGTCCCAGAGGTCCAGGCAAGGTCATCCACCTCCACTCAGGCTCCCCGTCCACACAGCAAGATGCTCTGAGTTATCTCAGGTAGGACAGAAGCTGCCGTGGGGATCTGCCTGCTTTAAGAGGCTCCTCCTCCCCCAGCCATTTTCTAGCCCTAAAGTGAATGCTGGGGGCACACCAGACAGAGGCCCTGGTATGAAATACCTGCCTTTACTGTATCCTCTGTGGCTGGTCAGCAGGCATGCCCAGCTCCTGCCCTCAGACCAGAGCCCTTGTCTGATGCCACACCCAGGACCAGGAGCCCCAAGTTCTCTCAGCTTAGCCAAAGGTCTCCACTATCCTTGAAGCCCTTAGGATAAAGGTCAAGGGCACACGGCCCACACACACCTAGCTGCCTCCCTCTCATGGTGGACAGCAAACAGAATGGAGGAATGGAGACACTGGGTGTGTGTGGTGAACCTTCCGGAGGCAGCAGTCGGGAAAGCTTGGCCCGGTTTAGAACTTGAGGAAGCTTTGATTCTGTTCAGGACTGCCTGGTCCCCTCCAAGCTACCTACGACACTGTTATGACCATCAACTTGATGGGGCATCTAGGAGACAAACCTCTGGGCATGTCTGAAGGAGTTTCTGGGTTAGGTTGAGGTGGGAAGACCCACCCTGATTGTGGATGGCACCATCCCATGGGATGGGATCCCAGACCAAATAAAAAGGAGACAGCGAGCCGCGCACCAGTCTGAGCACCTCTCTCTGCTTCCCCACTGGATGCTATTGACCAGCCGCCTATGCTCCCGCCACTGCACCTTCCCCAACATGGCGGGCTGTACCCTCAAACTGTGAACCCAGACGATCTTTCCCTCATAAGCTGCTTATGTCAAACATTTTGTCACAGCAACAAGAAAACTAACCCCCACCACACACACATCACTCTGCCTTAAGACCTGGGGTCAGGGGAACTTCTTGCAAGAGTGCTCTGTGATGCCTGCCTGGTGTGTCCAGGGATTCCTGGGCACAAGTGAACCTAGTGTGCTCCTCAAACTACCTTTCCACCTGTCCTGTGGTTGGGGAGAAGACACCTGCCCCGGACTACTGTAAACTCATCCTTCCCGCGGGACCGCCACCCTAGCATGCTGTGGGTCTTGGCTAGCATTCCACTGATTCAGCAAATGGGTGGTCCACCCACCTCCTGTTTCCACCACCTCAGGGAAGGTCACTGTGTCCTGGGCTCAGGGGTACAGATGTGGAGCCCCACGCTGGGTAGCAGTGAGTTCACCATCCCTCCAAGGATGGGAGGGGCCGCTGCTTTGGGTACCCCATCTTCTGCCCCACCCCACAAAGCTATCAGGACAGGTTGCACTACAACAATTACACAGACAGCTGCCCACCCACAGTTGAGCCTTCTGAATACCCACACTTGTATCAAATTTTGTATTATTGTTTGGGATTTTCCAGACAGGTTCTCTGGCTCTGTAGCCGAAGCTGGCTTAGAACTTACCAGTAACCATGCTAGCATCAAACTCGTGACAATCTTCCTGCCTCGCTTGGCCTCTTGAGTGCTGGGGTAACAGTTATAAGCCATCAGTGTTCCATTAAGTTCTCTTTAAAAATTATTGTACGTGGGGGCTGAAGAGATGGCTCGGTGGTTAAGAGCACTGGCTGCTCTTGCAGAGGATCAGGCTCGATTTCCAGCACCCACGAGGTGGCTAACAACTGTCCAAAACTCCAGTTTCAGGTAATCCAACGCCCTCTTCTGGCCTCCATGGGCACTGCACGACACAGGTGCACTTACATGCGTATAGGCAAAACACGCATACACATAAAATAATATTTTTTTTAAATTGTATGTGTGCATGATATGGGGGTGTGCACAAGTGTAGAGGTCAGGGGACCGCTTTGCAGAATTCATTTGCTCCTTCTACCTTTATGTGGGTTCCAGGGATCCAACTGCAGTCACCAGGCTTGCACACCAAGCACCTTTACCCTCTGAGCCATCTCACCATCCCACCAGCTTAAGTTCTTAAAAGTCACTTGTTCCTCTAAGGTTCACAAAATCCTTGGAGGTGGCCCATGCTGGAGCCATCTTCAACATCTAATATACACACACGCACGTGCACACACGCACGGGCGGATGTTAGGGTTTCAGCACAGACCCTCTCCAGGATCCTCTCCCTACTTGTACTGGGGAATCATTAATAGGGTATAGACAGTGGGGTGCATGAATAGCCTCCTGCCATGCAGGGCTACACTCAGGGCTCCGGTTCCCCTCAGCACACCCTGTGGCCTTCCCACTGACCCATCCGAAGGTCCACCCCCGGGGGGGTCTGACACAAATCATTTCCCCTGCCTCTCTGCGCTCTCTCCCCAAGAATATGGCTTTCCGACTCCCCCTGCACACTCTTGGGCCAGGTGGGGGCTGCAGGGTCCTGTCTGACAGGTGCCAGCCACCCGAGTTCAGTCACCAAACAGCAAAACCGGTGGCAGAGCCGCTGTGGAGAAGTCCAACCATGTGGAACTGAGGGAAACAGACGCTTCAGGGACACAGAACCAGATACTCGGCAGACGAGATGGTTCCGTCTGGAGACAGGCATCAGCTTCACTCCGACAAACCCAGGGAAGGAAGTGGTGGGCAGGGGCTCCAATGGTAGATAGTCCACAAATGCAAAGGGGCAAAATGGCTGAAAGTGAGGCCCGAATGGAGTGTTTTAAGGACGGGCAGCCATCCAGCAGCGGGACCCTCCTTTCTCCTACCCCACACTGTGAGGACATGGGAAAGGATGCCTGGCTCTCACCTGCAGGTGGGAGGGCCAGAGTCCAGCTCCATCCTCCTGCTCCAGTGAACCCATCATGTGCATTTGCAACCCACATACTGTAGGGGAGCCCAGTTCCGAAACCTTTAGCAGATGGATGCAAAGAGGGGTAGGGGGAGGGGGGAGGAGGAGGAGGAGAGGAGGGGGAAGGGGAGGAGGAGGGGGAGGAGGGGGCATCTGCTGACTTCGGTGGGAGGCTCAGTCCCATTGTAGCTCAACAAGGCAGCAAGTTTTGTGAAGCGGCCACACAGTTCCTAGGCAGTAAGACTTGAATGTTATCTCCAAGCCTCCATGTGCTCCTGTGGGCTAGCAAAGGCAGCTTAGCAGTAGATGGTCTCTGGGCACCCCGCCCCCACCTCCGGTGACTCTAAATCCTGCAGCCACTGGCTACCTGGGAACCCAAGCTCCGTGAGAAATGGCTTTTCATAGTCAATGGCTTTTTGTAGTGTCTTGGATAAGGTTTGTAAAGATAGAAATGCACTCCGGGCAACCCACTGACATGAGGACTGTCCAACTCCCATCCTAACCCATCCACCCTCGACAGCCCCCCATCATCCCATCCCAGAATGCTTTCCTCTCCCTTTCCTGATTCATCCCTCCTTTACCCGGCCCCTAACCTCCCTCCTGGCTGATCCTGAACAGACTGCTTTCCTCTGGCCAGAAGTCAACTCTATCTTGCAGCCAGTTTCCTTTGGCAATATGGTTTTGTATCCTCTGCACTCCATCTCTGAGACCACACACCCCCAGTGTAGACCAGCACTTAGCTGGTCCTTCACAATGCTGAGTGAGAAAGCAATATCTGATCCCATCTCCTTTCTGATTGACATTTGGGATGCTTAAAAATAATGGTTATAGGGGACGGAGAGATGCTCAGTGGTTAAGAGCACTGGTTGCTCTTGCAAAGGGCCTGGGTTTAGTTCTCAGTACCCACATGACCCTAACTCCAGTTCTAGGGGATCTGACATCCTCTAATGGCCTCCTCAGGCATTGCAGTGATACAGATGCACTTACACACATGCAGGTAAAAAACTCATACACATAAAACAAAAATAATAAAACATTTTTTTAAAAAAACCCAAGGGCTGGGTGTGGTGGCGCAGACCTTTAGTCCCAGCACTTGGGAGGCAGAGGCAGGCGGATCTCTGTGAGTTCGAGGCCAGAGGACCCAAGCTCCCAGCATCCACTCCTGAGAGCTTCACAACCACCTGTAACCTCAGCTCCAGGAGATCTGACACCCTCTTCTGGACTCTACAGGGACCTGACCACAGACACACACATATGCATATTTAAAAATAAATCTTTTAAAAGAAGATGGACAGTGCCTAAAGACACCCAAGATTGGGCATTTGTCTCCACACGCATGTACGTGCGTCCACACGCGTGTATGTGCACCCACACACATGAACACATACACAGAAGTGTTGGTTACAGTGAAAAAAACTGCTACGTGAACACACTCAACTCCTCTGTGCACACGTGTGTATGTACACAAACACGTTCACTTCCTTTGAAGTCACGATCCCCCTGGGAGTGGAGCTGGAGCTGCTGGTCAAGGGAGGTGCAGATTTCCCTCTGGAGGCATCTGCTAGATGTTTTCCCAAGGGCTGCAGCATCCGTATCCACCTGAGGTCTGAGCAAGTTCGTACTGCAGCCGTGCTTTTCAGTTTAGCCACTGGCGTGGGCAAGCAGGAACATCCTGCATTCATCCTGTGTTTTCCTAATGACTGCTGATAGAGCACTGGCTGTGTGCATCTTCCCCTTGGAAAGACACGTTTGAAACTTTCAATCATTACTTGGAAGCTTTTTAGATTGAATTTTAATTTTAGAGGCGTTCGTTGTACATTTGTGGGTCAAATACTTGTCAGTACATTTGGTGACAACCCCCCCAACCACCATCTATACTTTGGCTATTAATTTTCTATTTTAATACTTTATTTTTCTTTTTTTATTTAATAACAACATGATTAGAAGAAGCATTTCATTACAGCTTTAACATATTCAATAACAATTTCTAGTACAAAGATACATCTCTTTCAAAAGTGGCTGTAAATTTTTAGGTTCACAGTCAAGTTAATACAGTTATACAATATTGAACTCAGTATAAAGCCTGTAAGATATAAAATTGAATGAGTTTTAACCTTTAAAAAAGA